GCATTTGTGTATGTATTCCTTTTTGATTAAGTGTATATATTCCTTTTTTTAGTGTATCTTTTATGAATATTGAATATTTTCTATATGTATAAAATGTCTCCTATGCTTTTAATTATAATTATTTTTTTGTTTGACTATCCATGCATATTAAATACATTTTTTTGCCTAAAATTTAGGATAAATGTACATATATATATATATACATATATATTGTTTAAGGTAGCATTTTTTACTTATTAATTATGTATTATATTTTTAAATATGAGTGTTTGTTTAATATTTTAATTGTTGATGTTCGACTAATCTATGGAAGACTTCTAAAAATCTGGAGTGCCCTTCTAAGGATTATTCGAATAAAATTGATATTTTATTCAATATTTATTTATATTCTATGATTTTTAAAAATTACATAAGATATGTTCATTTTAAATAAATGCATTTTTATTTTTTCATATAGTAAAATTATTTTAATAAATATAAATATTCATTGCGTTATTTTATTTATTTTAATATTTTGTTATCTTAATTTATTTATTTATCTGTCATAATATGTTCATATTTCATTCATCCTTTATATGACATTTATTATTGTTACATTCATAAATCATGCATTTATTTCTCGTTTTCCAAATTGATTGAAGACAATGCTATCTTGCATAATGGGTTAACGAAATTACGTCCAACATGATTGAATTTCAATTTTCATTAATTCACGTATTAAGGGAACATCTTTTTAAATAAAAATCAAGTGAATTAAGTCATTTTATTGAGTCAAATATTTAAAAAAAATCACTCATTCTTAAAAAGATCATAGAAATAAAAAGATCGTAGTTTAAATTTTGAATCTGAATTAGTAAAATTCCACTATTTAGACAATATATAATCGAATGTACCAATTTTGGGCGCTCACCTTTCCCAATCGTAATCGACTCCTGAATCCTTAAAAATGAATTTTTGGTAAATGTAGACCAATTTTTGTCTTAAAAACGATTTTCCATAAATTCTTTTAAAATATGTTTTTAGGTATTCGACCTACCTAACCTAAAGGTATATGACGACTCCAAATCATTTTCAAATTTCAAATTAAACGAAAAGTTAAATTTCCCAAAAATAAAGTCATAATTATTTTAAGGCTTAAGGGTCACATTTGTCTCTATAGTAGAAACAATTTATCATTTTCACCCCTATTGTATTTTCACATCAATTTAGCGCTCAAAGTTGTTTACCTGCATCATTATATACCCTACCCTAACTAAACCCCTAAATTATAAACCTTAAGTTAGGTTTAAGGTTGAGAGTGCATGGTTCAGATGTTATGGGGTTATAAGTTAGGGATTATTGTTCATAATTTAGGGTTTTAAGTTAGAAGTGTGGTATAGAATGATGCAATTGAATAACTTTAAGGGCTAAATTGATGCAAAAATATGATAGGAGCGAAAGTGATAAATTGGGTCTACTTTAAGGACAAAAGTTACCCTTATACCTTATTTTAATATTAATTTGTTTTAAAAAATGATTATGACACCATGTTTACTCAAAATAGAAGTAGGCAATATCCCATAATAGTGACGGATTAACATACTTTTATAAAGGGCGAGTGTTATTCACTTTAAAATCTGAGTTTTTTTCGATTTTTTTTTATTTTCTTGATGATGTTTATTTTTAATTTTTTTTGGATAAGTAAATTTTTATTATCCAAATAGAAAAGTAGCTACAACAATCCCAAAAGGGAGTAAAACCAATACTTACAACAAAAAATGGTTAAACTATACCCCAATTATAGTTTAAATGACAATTAACATTATCATTTCTATTAATATTTTTGCCTCTAAGTTGGATTCAGACAAACTCTTTGATGATAGACAAAATTTGTTCAGTATCTCTTTATCCTCGCTGAAAAATTCTTTTATTCCTCTCCTCCCATATCAGATAGATGGACGAGGTCCAAGCAAGTTTCAGTATAGTTGAAATGAGTGATTTACCTTTCCAATTGTCTGACACCCAGTTAATCATTTCTCCCCAAGTCATGTGAGTTACTCTCAGGTGAGTAAGATTGAGAATGAAACTCCATAGGGTTTTGACAAAGTTGCACTCAATAAAAAGGTGGTCCATTGTTTCAATGGTCTCATTACATAACACGCAGCTTTGATCAAGAACGAATCCCATCCGAGACAGTCTTTCCCAAGTTGGAAGTCTGTCTAGGATGGCCATCCAAGCAATCATACTGATTTTTGGAATGTGGGAAGGAAACCATATGATTTTATGCCAATGAACCTTAATTCTTTTGTCCCTAACTTCTTCCCAAATCTCTTTAGCAGTTTTAGCTCCTGCACTAATAATGGGAAAAGTAATAGTACGAAGCTTCCATATTCTCTTGGTATTCCAGCTGTGTGAATGTTTTATTGCCATGTCTCTAAAGTCTTCATTCTTAATAACATAAGAGTAAAGTCATGCGACCCAAAGAGACCCTTCAGTAGCGAGAATGTTACGGATAAGCTGGATCATACAAGTTGTGTTCCAAGATTTAATGTTTTTAAGACCTAACCCTTCTTCTGATTTGGGGCAACAAAGTTTCATCCAGCTGACCCTAGCTCCAGAAGCAGCTTGATCATTTCCTTTCCATAGGAACCGAGAACAAAGCTGGTTAATACGATTGATAATAGCTTGAGGAAGATTAAACTGCCTGCACCAGAAGTTAGTCATGCCGTACAATACTATTTTAACTAACTCAAGCCTGCCTGCATAGCTTAAGAGCTTGCTAGACCAGTGATAGAGTCTGAGTTTAATTCAATCAATAAGAGGCTGGCAGTCTTGTTCTGTTAGTTTTTTGTGACTAACGGAACCCCCGAATATCTAACAGAAAGAAGACCCTGTTTAAATCCAGAAATAGTTTTGATAATTTGAAGGATTCGAGAAGAAATTCCTACTGCAAAGAGTTCAGTCTTGCTAACATTAAGCTTTAGCCATGACATGAGGTAGAAGTGATCTAAGACAGAAATAATACCAGCAATAGAGTCAGGATTTCCCTTGCAGAAAATTAGAAGATCTTCAGCAAAAGAAAGATGTGTAAGGCCTAACGTTTTGCATTTAGGATGGTACCCAAAAATCCCTTTGGCAGCAGTAAGGTTAAGGGTTTTAGAGAGTATGTTCATAGCAGACACAAAAAGGGTAGGGGATAAATGATCACCCTGTCTTATTCCTTTTTGGCCTTTGAAATAACCAACCAAACTACCATTGAGAGATATAGAGTACTTAGCTTCAGTAAAACAACCTTCAATCCAGCTTATGAAGATGCTTGGCAGCCCTATAGCTTCGGGGATGCTAGAAATGAATTCCCAATTAAGAGAATCAAAAGCTTTTTGAAGGTCAATTTTAAGGGCAAACCTTGGGGATATAAGCTTCATTCCATAACCTTTTACAAGTTCTTGAGCTAGGAGAGTATTGTCAATGATAGATCTTCCTTTAACAAAGGCAGACTCATTAGGAGTAATAATTTCTAGCAGCAGCATGGTTAGTCGTTTAATAAGGATTTTGGTGATGATTTTGTACAACACAGAGCAGCAAGATATTGGCTTGTAATCCTTAACAGTGCTGGGGTTCTGGAATTTAGGAATCAAGGCTATTATTGTGGCATTGAAGGCAAGCAGAATGAAAGCTTCTTGAAAGAAAAATCGGATAGCACTGATTATATCATCTCCTACCACATGCCAAGTTTTTTTTTTGAAAAAGAGGGGTGTGAACCCATCTGGTCCTGGGGCTTTGTCAATTCCTTGACTAAAAAGAGCTTCTTTGATTTCTTCATTAGAAACAGTTCTAATAAGATCAGTGGAAAGTTATGCAGGCAGATCGTAGTGGAGCATATTTTTCAAAAACTGAATATCAGTTTAAAGAACCAAGCTGCATTTTAAAGAACTCAATAACTTCAGTAGCCATTTGATCAAAGGATTCCATCCTTTTGCCTTGAGAATAAATAAGGACTCTAATGGTATCTCTTTTGTTGTTGGAAGCAATAACAGAGTGGAAGAACTTGGAGCATTTGTCTCCCTCTTTGATCCAATTAATTTTGGCTTTCTGCTTAAGGAACTGATTTTCAGCCTCTTCAAGATTAGTGAGATCATTTTTAATATTAAGCTCTTCTACAATAGTGCTAGCTCCTCTGAGAGTTTGAATTTGTATGTATTCCAGCTCAGCTCTCTTGTGTTTAACCCTGTCAGACAAGTTACTGTAGGAATCCTTATTAAGAGATTTTAAGCAAGGCTTAAGTCGTTTTAGCTTGAGGAACAGAGCTTGCATAGGGTTGCCTTTTACAGGCTGCTGCCAGGAATGAGTGACAATATCAAGGAAGGTAGGATGATTAGACCAGAAGTTGAAGAACTTGAATGGTTTGGGTCTGTTAGTTTGGATTTCTTTGTTTAACCAAACCAGTGCCATGCAGTGGTCAGAAGGACAAGGGGAACAGAATTCAACAAAAGATTTTGGAAGACAGTGGCCCAGGAAGAATTAATTAAAACTCTATCTAGATTCCTTTCTAAGAATGTATCCTTTTATTTATTACTCCAAGTGAAGGAAGGGCCAAAGTAGTTGTGATATTGTAGGAGGAGGTCTTGAGCCAATTCTTAAAAATCCCTCATATCAGAAGATTGATAAGGACTAAGAATATTTGAATCAAAACTTTCAGAGTAATGTAGATAGGTGTTGAAATCCCCTCCTAGAATCCAAGGAGTAGAATTGAGTTGAGAATCAATGCTTCTAAGGTGCTACCATAATTGTCTTCTGATAGTTCCGTTGTTACTGCCATAGTCTACCATTAGAGGCAAAATTATAATTTGTAATCATCTTCCAGCTCCCAAAAGTAGAATGCAGGATATTGTCAGATTTTCCAGCTTTAATACGAGTTTCCATCAAACAAATGATATCAACTTTGTGAAGATTGACCCTTTGAAGGACTTTTATTTGCTTATGAGGATTGTTTAATCCTCTTATATTCCAAAAGCAGACTATCATAGTGAAGAGGATTTTGAAGTTTCTCCTTTATCTACAGGAGTCTTAGTTTTAACTAGATGCTCTTTCTTTGTAGTCTTTAACTCTTTAAGGAGATTAGCAACTCCTAAAGCAGCAAGCCTTGATTTATTTGGTTGGATTTCAGTATTATGGGAGTTTTCATCAATTGAACTCTGGATTTCAAACCTGTTAGCAGATCCTTTAAGAGGGACTTTAGTTTTGACCTTTAGGGGTCTGCCTCTACCTCTTTTAGGAATTGAAGGGGAAGATTTTTATTTTGTTGGGGGAGAGAAGAGGCTGAGAAAGAGTCTCTATTGGAGCAGATTCATCATATAGAGGAGAGGGAGCTTTATTAATTGGAGAATTCTCTTCAGCAGGGAGCATGATAGAGGAGGTTGTTAAGTTATCATTGGGAGTGTGATCAGAGTGGGTTGGAGGGTGACTACAGTAACAACTTCTGAGTGAGAATCAGAAGGTTCAGGGAGATTTTGCTGTAATTCATCAGAGTTTTCAAGAGGTTTTGTTTCAATACTTATGTTAACTTCAGCCTTTTTTCTCCAAATTTTCATTGGAGCAGTTGAATGTTGTGATGGGCAATTCTTATCAGAATGTCCAAATTTGGCACATTTTTTGCAACTATTCGGAACCAAGGAACTTCAACATAAATAAGAGTTATGTGACCATTTGCAAGAATTACTTCTACAGAATCATAAATTTTCTGCTTAACATCAACCTCAACACAAACTTTAGCAAAGTGCAATCTAGTTTTAGAAGCAGTGAAAGAGTCCATGGAGATTGGTTTCCCTCAACACAAACTTTAGCAAAGTGCAATCTAGTTTTAGAAGCAGTGAAAGAGTCCATGGAGATTGGTTTCCCTAGTGCACTGGCAATAGAGCTTAGGCCATCTTGAGTATATAATTCTAGAGGCACATTGTAAAGATGGATCCATATAGGCAGATGAGCAAAATCAAAATCAAGCTTTTGCATGTTAGCCTCCCAAATTCTTAAGATTAAAGGCTTGTTAAAAACATGCCAAGGTCCGTTTTCAAGGACCCAGTCTCTAACAGAATCATTAGCGAATGAAAAGATGTAAACATTGTTTCCGGCGTAACTGACCTGAACTCCTTCGCCTTTCGCTGGATGGTTCCATAGGGTTTCAATGATTCTTTGCAGTGCATTGAAGTTTGGTGGCGCCCCGAGAAATTGACCCACCAAAGATGATTTCCAGACTGATGTTCCAGCTTCGAAAACCTCTGGTGGAGGACAAACAATCGGATTACTATCGATCGATTTTGGGGGGGGGGGAAAGATCACTTTTGGCTTTCTTGGCATTTAAAAAGCTTTCTCCAATCCATCTCGCGAGACAAGAAGATGAGTAATAAAGAAACCAGTAGAAACGAATCGATTGACGAAGAAGAAATCACCGGCGATGGAGGGAATCTCAGGCTCCATTAGCCCCGCTAACGTGTGCGCAGAGAGAAACACAAACATACACCATTCAATTTTTTCAAATTATGTTTTTTTATTTTTTATTTTGTTTGTGTCAACTCCATTCAAAAATCATGTTACTTACGAATGTGTTCACTCTCAAAAGTATTGTTTAGATCCATGATTGTGTTATAACTTTTCTTCCTCCCTTTATTAATTTCCCCTTTCATTTTGAGAATCTTTAAGCCTGAAATCCACGACTTCTTGCATAGCTTTTTCGTTGCATGTCCTTATTTATATAGCCTTTGGTAGTGGACACATCCCCCACGGCGAGATGCTACTTTGATCTTAGTGATCTTTTACCAACAGAATGATGTTAAAAAAAATTATGTACTACTAAGAATTCGGAACATGTACTTTAAAATATCTCAAAATATGTCTATCACTCGAGCATAAAGATGAACCATTAACCCCTCATTGCGTGTGGTGTATTCAAAATCCTTAGATTTTAATTATTTTTATTTCAATTAAGTAAATAAATTTGAGATATTTTTCTTGTTCAATTATTTTCCAATCCTTGAGTTAATTAATCAAATTGAAATTGGATTATATAACCCGACTTGTTTATTGATCGATTTGAATTGCTACCTCATTAATGATTGAGTTTTGCTGAAATGATGCAATGTCTGATAAACCTTAATTATTGTTAATCACATGTTTACAGTGTGTCTTAATCACCATTTAAGACGAAAGCTTTTTGCTTGTCCACTGAATTTAGAACCACTCATTATTTTCCAATCCTTGAGTTAATTAATCAAATTGAAATTGGATTATATAACCCGACTTGTTTATTGATCGATTTGAATTGCTACCTCATTAATGATTGAGTTTTGCTGAAATGATGCAATGTCTGATAAACCTTAATTATTGTTAATCACATGTTTACAGTGTGTCTTAATCACCATTTAAGACGAAAGCTTTTTGCTTGTCCACTGAATTTAGAACCACTCATTATTTTCCTATCCATTAGTTATCATCACCATGCATATACTTGTTCAACGATTTTTCTCGACAGAAGTGAAAATATATAATACTTAATCGTTTATATAAGACCACAAAAAAGTCATTTGTAGAATTGCAGCATAGGATAACTCAAGGTTAACGTAGAAGAATTTCATTGTGGCCGAGACCACTGATTTTTCCTGGGGGAATCTTGTCTCGGTCGGCACAATTCCCTGGAGAAATTAAATGATGGGTTGGAATCAGCACAACTCCTGGTGTCTTCACAAGAGAGTGTAGTCAATGTCTTGTGAAAATACTTCACATCATCACTATCAACGACGTGTCCCCGCAAGTTATCCGAAGAAGAAAACCTGAAGGTCCTTTGTCTAGCTTTGATAGACTGAGTAGGTTTCATGTAGCTGGGTTTTTTAGTATGATTATCTTCTAATGTAGTGGGAGACACGGATGCTGATGACGAGCTTGAGTCGGTACTAGGGGAAGACAATGAGTCCCAAGTATGATTGACCATAGGAGGCCTTGCAAGAACTCGGGCATGGTTGCTGGCATCTGCACTTTCCCAGGGCTTGGTTGCCATCCAACGATCAACCCAATTCCAATCTAGCTTTTGAGGCGATGGTTGCTTGTTTCCTCTCAAATTTGGGTTGCCATTGCCACACGATCTTGACTGCTATTAAGAAGAAATAAACAGGCAATCAGAACTCTGGCACCTCACTTTTAAAACAGAGTATGCCAATCAAAGGTTATTTCAAGCTCTATTACCTGTTTTAAAACAGAGTATGACATCGCTCTCTCCCTTTTCATTGCACCTTCTTGCCTCATTTGTTGTTTTGCTCGTACTTCTTCTAAAGTCCCGGGACTGTCACACCATCCTTTCTGGAAATTTGTTTAGCATTTCATCATATTAGCATATTGTTAGTGTCAAATAGTTGACAGTAAAATTATGCGGAAGATGAAAAATATATATAAAAAACCTGAACATCCTTGATTGGATCATTGGGTTTATGCACAGCTTCTTGTTCTGAAAATATCAGACATTGTGCTCTCATTCGAGTTTGTACCCTTACAAGAGCTTGCATGCACCTTAATGTCACGGCAGCTTGATTCCGAACTTTACGACCGCGGAAGATGGCTTGAATCCTTACTACTGCTTTCAAGGCCCTTAAGCTCGTCTTGCCTACCATGAAAAAGAATGGCAATTTAAAGCAGATAACCAAGAATTTTCACCAAAATCATTCTTTTGTATCAACAACAGAGCAAGTTTATATCAAACCGATGAGGCCTAATAAGGGTAAAGTGCGATGAGCCCACTGAATCATATCCTAAACTTATCCAGCTGAATGGAAAAATATTTTCTAATATCAAACAACAACAACAAGGAGATTGATACCAGCAGGCCTCGAAATGCAGTCTGAATTCGGATGGCTGCCCATTCTCGCTTCACAGCCCTAAAATCCTTGGGTTGAGCACGGACAATGGTGGCCATAGCAGCAGCGAGCGCACCATCCGCTTCGGAGGTCTCTGAAGGAGCCACGTGACGCATTTTGAGATCCCTGGATGAGGATGATCGGAACCCTTCGGATGAGCTCCTCCAGAGCTTCCACTTCTTTTAGACTTATTATCTCCCATTTTCTCCTACAAAACGAATAAACGATAAAACACCTCAAGCCGAAAGAAAACAAATCAGAGTTCCAGGAAACGAGAATCTTAGTTCAGCGAAAAATACTTGGTTGCTGAGGTCCTGAAGTGGTTTGGGAGTTACAACTGACTTAAACCATTTTCCTGAGGCACCCATTTTAAGGAATTGTAAAGGGCAAAAGAAAAGGGGTCGAGAGGGAGAGGGAGAGGGAGAGGTGATTTTGAGTTTAGGGACCGTTGGTTGTAAGAAAAAAGATAAAGGTTTGAATTTCGAAACAACCATAAATTGTCTCAACGGATACATTCACTTCAAAAATTCAAAACAGATCTTGTAATTTCTGAAAAGCGGGACCTTTTTTAAAGTGATCCGTTGGCTTCAACATCTTTTATAATTTAGAAATTCATTAATGATAAAATCAAAATTTAAATTATATCTTAGAAATAAATTTTATTTAAATTTTAATTGTTATCTTTAAATAGTAATAATATTAATAATTTATATTTTTAAGTTAAAATTATATTAACTAATATTTAATTAAGTATTAAAATTAAAATTATACTAGCGGTTTAAATTAGATAAGATTCACGATAGTATCAAATTAATACATGTAGATCAACACCTTAAAATGCATTACAAAATTTAATATTTTTCATGCAATAGAGATGTGAATTTTAAATTAACCTAAACCAAAGTATGAGAACATAAATGAAGTCAGAGTTAAAAATGAATTATCCTGGCATAATATGCACATTAAATGATCCATTAAGATTCGACATAAAAAATAATATGAGAAAACAATCAAAGCATAATATGATGAGTGCAAAAAATAATAAATATATAAAAAAATTGGTAGGGGAAGTGATTATTCGTTATCAAATCTAAAATTTAATATTGATCATACTAAATTAATATCTCTTGCTAATATTACATGTTTGGTTTGCTGGTAATGTAAATAATGAGAACATTTTTTACCTTATATCTAAATCAACTGCCAGTAGAATCAAGTGTCAATGCAATTAATGATTCAGCTGAGAATGAAGACATAAATTCTATAGCTTGTAAGGACCCTTAAATATGGGCTGGGGACCTTCTTCCACGTTCAACCTAAAGTCTTTTAAGTGGAGTGGGGTGAGCACTGTTTGCGGTAAAGCTCAATCTAGAAACACTCATTCATCATCACCATTAAGCTCAGTCTTTCATCTCAAACCACTCCAACTTTGCATTGATGTCTGCAAATGCAAGACTACCATTACAAACTGTTGAGTTGAGCCGAGTTAAAATAATCTTTCATGCTTTTGGGTGTGCATGGTTAAAATCAGTGATAAAAGTAAAAATTTACTCTCAGCCTCATGTCTGAAATCTGAACATGTTCATGTTTTTTACAATTAGCAACAGATAAAAGTACTAGTCATAATCAAAGTGAAGTTTTCCTCGCTATAACTCAGACTGAGTTGGTGTTTTGCATGAACAAAGTGGTGTTTTAATACCGGAGGGGGTGAGTCTCTCTTAAGTCTTAAGAGCAGAGACCTGTCTTTATACTTACAGTGATATTTGAGAAAAAACACCAATGCTCTCTCTTAACCCATTTTTGGAGTACTCTCTTACTTCTGTACATAAAAAAGGTACAGACCGGGGATAATGCAGTACATTGAAAGATCATGTCACTATACTCAGACACCAATCCACAGTGCTTACTTTCATTGTTGATGATAATTTTGACTTATGTTTCGAGATTTCCCATCCCCCAAAGCCTTTGATTGTGGGGAAACTATTTTTGTCTCCAAGGTCAGAAAATCAGCCAGCACCAGAGCCTAATGCCCAGACTAGTATAAAAGGAGTTTGAAAAGTGCAATGAGTGAGTGGTGCAATCAAGATTTCCTTATTTCGAGCCTTTGCTTCCTTTTGCTCAGTTTCACAGATATCACCTCAAAGTTCAATAATATATATATATATATATATAACATTAAATGAATATCACCACCCTTGGGAAGAAAATAAATAAGATGGGGATACTGCATTACTGTGTGTCTGGTAGGATTTACTACACCTTATTAATGCGCGCATCTGCAGATCTAAAGAAGAGAATCAGGGACCAGAAAATCATCTTAATTGCCATCTTGGATGATTGTCCAAATGGACGACCAAGATTTAATCAGGGGTACATTAGCCTGCGTGCTTCCCATTGACCAACCTGTGGAAAAAAGTTGTAGTCATTGTTTTTTTTTTAACAAACTCATCTAAGATT